TCCATGCTTGAATATTCACACAATTATATGCTTCAAGCGTTTCGGAAGTTGCAGCTGCATCTTCATAAGAACTCTCCTTCCATGGAACTTTTAACGCAAATGAAAAACAGTTTTTTTTTTCTTCTCAGTATCAAGATGTGGGGGTGATATAAAGAATTGTGTATAGGAAGGAGATATGATTTAGGAATGAGTTTTATTTTGTCTATATAAGGAATGACTGATGTTGAAAAAAAAAAATAATAAGGAATGACTGACTTAGGGAGATTCTTTTCTTTTTTTTGGGGGGTTGAATTAAGTAATTTATCTTACGGTTAAGAACTTTGTTTTTATTGATATCCGTGGACCCGGTATTGAGCATTATCATAGCTAGTGGGAACAGCCAAATGAGAAAAGGACCAAACAAAAGTTTTCACTCGGTCTCGCTATCTTTTTAATTCATCTAATTTTCACGTGGTAGTTTTACGCATGTAACGGTACAATGCCGTCACGCAGTTGGACGAAAATTTTATCAAATATTCTTTATCCCTTATATATTAAAAGGGAAGCACTTTTAATAATAAACCTTATATTCATGTGTGATTAACAAAATTGCCATTACTGATGTGGCATTCTCACAAGCTCTCTCAGCCCAATTATTAAAGTAGACATAAATTACTAGGCTATTTACAGTGGTGTGCCATTGGACATATGTAATTTTATTAATGCTACTCCCTTGAATTATAAAAGATTGTCTAATCGATTATGAAAAATCGGTTTACAAAACCGATCCTAATAAAATGCATTGTATCATGTTTATGAATTGGTCAAGAGATAAAATTGTCCATGGTTAATTTTATTATTATGTAAATTTGGCGTTACATCACCTATATGATTTATTTTGTTTATGAGTACTAGAAACATATATCATCGATGTTACAAACAATCCCATAACATTATATGTTTATGAATGGTTTATTCAAAAATATTGCATATATTGAAATAAAAATTGTAAGACTACTTACGAAAACATTACCATTTAAACAATTCGTCTGTAATCTGCAATTTATTTCAACACATAAAATTTTGTATAAGAAACATATATCATTTGTGTTCACAAAAAATCATAGATAAAGAAGATTTTGTACGTCAATGAATAATTACAACACACCATTCAGTTTTAAAAATACTAAAATTGGATTATTCAATATTGGTATTGACCAAGCTTTTATATATTCATTATTTGCTTGGTTTTATTTTTACAAAATTCTAAATATCGAAACCAAGGTTGTTATCAATAATCTAAAGAACATTGTTTGTTTACTGGTAAAATATTTTCTGCTTCTATGGTATATGGTTTATAATGTGGGTAAATTAATCCACTTTGGTTAAAATAAAAGAAATATCAAAATGTTTTCGATATTAAATATCAAACTTGCTAACGTGGTACTAATCAAAATGCATCTCTTATTTGATAAGCAGCATGTCTAAATCTCATATAAAATATAGTTTAGCATAATATATTTAGCTTACTTGGTCAATGGGTAATATTTAATTTTATAAATATTAGTTGGTTAGTATGTAAAATTCATTTTTGTACACTTTTTTTTTATAGAACTTCATTTATTTTTATAAATATAGTTGAATATTCGAAATGAATGTTAGTTAACTATCCTTATATGATTATTTTACTTGGTCAATGGGTAATAATTTTAATTCCCTTAAATACTTGAAGCGTAATGATTTGTTCTTTCACTAAATTTCTGGAGTCAGTATGGTAACATAATATATTTCTACGTTAGTGCATAATTCCATTTAATGAGATCATGAATAACGAGTATTTCATTTCCGATTCCTACCAGTAGTATATTTCGTACATGAGTTATTAGAGAAGAAATTGCTGCCGTTTTTCTAAATATTAAAACATCATTTATTCATTTTACATATATAAGGAACATATGCTACAATTGTGGAAATTTTACTGATTCTAAATTTAAATAAGCTGATATTTCTCATGAATGAGCCAAGACAAAGTTATCTCTCCTTTACTTTGAATGGCACATATAACCCTGTTTCACATTGTTTTTTTTTTTACCAAATATGTTTCAGAGCTGAAGCCATACAAATCCATGAAGATCAAAGCGAAGTTAATTAGACTTGAAAACAATACTTTTCGGCTGGTGGTCTCACCATTGAGATAGTCCTTATTGATTCTAACATGAAACTAGATAAGAACAAGGTGTCGTAGATGACCAAATCTCCTTTTCGATTTACATACATATTTCTGTTAAAACATGTATATCTACTATATAGATTCAAATAAGCATTTCACTCCGCGCAGGGCGCGGGTTATTACCTAGTGAATATATTAATCGTAAAACAGTATAACCAGTGAAAAATAGACTGTAAAGATCTAATATCCATAAATTCAAAATTCAGGAGATTAACTAAGCTTTCCACATAAATAAATGTATCATTCGTTCTAAAGAAAAGGTTTCGAGAATTCACAGTTGACTATTATTGCAGATTCACTAAATTGCAAATTCTTATTTTTTTTAAAAAAAATTGTTATATTTTTTAGCTGTTGTTCTATTTCGGTTTAGTTGTCTATACCATTTTTAGTGAGAAAAAATGTTTCATTTGAAGATAAAAACACATTACATTACACGAATGAAGCCCTTGTGACTAATGTTAACCTCTAACCATAACCTCGATGAAATGAAACAGAATTAACACAACCGGAGTAAAATGAGCAATGATGTAATTTTGAAAACAACGACAATTAATGATGTCTTTTGAAATTACTCCCTCTGTTTTTAAATAAATGTCATTTTGACTCTTTACACATAAATTAAGAAAATTGTATAATAGACTAATATATCCCTATTTAATATATGTTTAATTAAATGAAAATAATTTAAGTAAAATACTATTGGTTATTCAAAAGGGTAAAAAATAGATTTAATGTACAAAATTACATTGGGATTGTAGAATGACACTTTTTTTAAACAAAATTAAAAGGCTAAAGTGACACTTATTTAGAAATATAAATGTAAGGGAACCGAAGACTCTTTCCTAATTATTCCTTACTGTATTTATTAATGACCGAAACATGTTTTCTTTTTTAATGACTCGGCAGTAGACTGATTTGAGACATATTTCAATGGTCTACATACTGCCAAACTGCATTGAGTGATTTGTAACGTCTCGTTGTTATAACATTTTTGGATTTGTTGACTGTAAAGTGTAAATTAGTAACATGAAATGTATATCGACAGCAAGAAATATGGTAATGTATGAACTTGCTAATCCAAAGCTCTTTGAATAATAGCATCTAATCTATTAAAATAAAATCCTTATTTTTTATCTATTGATGTGAGTTGTCACTTAAATTTCGATTTTTTCTAGAATGTTACAAATAATATAAGTCATATAATTGATTAAACCGCATTTCTTAAATTAAACCGACGGTTATTTATAGGATAGAGTCTTGGGTTTACTTTTGTTTTTAAGACAAATTATATGTTTTAGTTTTTGGACTTAGTATTATGGAAAAAATTCAAAAACACATTGAATAAACTTTCCACTATAATGTATCAAAAAATCAATTACTATTTTCAGGCCCAAATATATTTAATATTTTTAAGACAACAAAATTATCTATTAATAATCACTTATTTAAATCATGTATTTTAAAATATGTTAATATTTTTTTATTGTAAATAACAATTACTCTATTTTGATAAATTTCAATGATAACTTTTAAATAATTTTTTTTCTTAAATAATTTACTAATTTTAAAAATAAATGTAAAGCAAAACCAAAAATCAAATCTAGAAACTAAAATCTAAAACCAAAAGCTGAAAACGCAGGTTATATTTTTGCTGAAAACGCAGATAACTTTTAAATAATTTTTTTTCTTAAATAATTTACTGATTTTAAAAATAAATGTAACACAAAACCAAAAAACAAATCTAAAAACTAAAATCCAAAACCAAAAGCTGAAAACGCATGTTATAATTTTGCTTTTGTTTATTTACAAAATAAACTTGCAACTTTTTTTAAAAAAAAATTGTCATCTTTTCAGTTTTAAATTAGATGTTTGATTATTTGGGATTTGTTTGTTGATAATATCAGTTCAAACTAACTCAGCGGATCTAAAAACTAAAAACTCAAATCAAAAGCTGAAAATCAAAAATAGAAATTTAAAAACCAAAAACCAAAAATAAAAATTTAAAATCAATCTAAAAATAAAAACTAAAACTAAAAATAATGCCCAAAATTCAGCACCACAAATTTGGATTACTGATTTAATACCAAAATATACTTTAAATAAAAATAAAACCCAATTATATAAAATTTTAATCATAAAAAATTTTCGCGTTAATCAAAATCTAAATCTTACTTATGTACGCACATTATGTCTTTGATCTGGATACGCTAAAGTTAAGGGCTGCGAAATGCTAACGGGCCGGAAGTGGACCACACCTATTGACTCTGAAAAGAGCGAGGCTCAGGTCTGTCATGTGTTTATAAGGGCTTATTAATGGGCTAGTGGGTCTATCAGGAAATTGTACTGAGTTCTGCAACTTTTTCAATTGCATAATAGAATTTAAATTATTATTAAACAGAACATAATTAAAAAGAAGACAAGCTTTAAGCAGAAGCAAGTGTGTGTCTACTCCTTCTCACGCCCACATGTTTTATCATTTTGCCCTCCAACACACTAAATCCAAACTCATATTATTGCCTCTTAAGAGCCGTTGAGAAAATTTCAAAACCCATTTTGTGAAATCATACAATAGGTTACACGCCAAAATAAAATAGTTTTGCACGCCATAACATGCCAAAAATATACATAAAATAAGCTCTTACCCCATGTGGTAAGTTTGTCCCGTTCTATTCAAATGGTACCTTCCCTAGATCCAATGCTTTTTTTTGTAACGCAAGTTACGTAACTCGAACATTTGTTCTGTTTTGCCCGTAATTTGATTTGATTTGGACCATCTCTCCATATAATTCACAATCTCTCCATGTTAAGATAATTCAATAGTAGATTACATCATAGCATCCAAATCTTACACTCGTAATGGAAAATATTTTAACTATAACACCTCATCATAAACATTTTATATGTTTGTAATAAAATAAAGCTATTTAAAAAAAAAGCAAAACACAGAAAAAGTCATATTTTTCTAATGCCTTTTAATTAAGAAAATTAAACTTTATTCATTGTTCAGGAATAGAAACCAGGACTGGTCGCCAAGCTTTTCTCAAAATCCTTAACCGAAACGATTGAACCGGACCGGAAGAACCGAACCGTCGAGTCATTAACTCTCTCCCGTCACCGTTAGAACTAACGTCGCCGCCAGTAACCGACGAAACCCCACTCCTCACTTCTCCACCGTCACCAATCTCTTCCCCACCACTAAACGGCGGTGACGGCGACGTGACCATCAGCTCTTTCAACTTACGCCTCGCACGGTGGTTTCCCCTCTTCTTCTTCCCGGAGTTTCCATCAAGCTCCGGAGATTCTTCGAGGATCTGACGGAGATTCCGTCTGCGACCGTCGGAGCTCTTGTCGAATAACATGCGCAGGGTTTTGCGTCGCTGGAGATGGAAAACGGGACTCTTCGTCGGACTCATCGAGGGGTTACTGGCTGCGGAGGCTTCTAAGGTGCGATTTGCCGCGAAGAGCTTGAATTTGTGTAGTCGGGAGAGTGACATCGTGAGAGATCCAACGGTGGATCGATGACGATCGCCCGAAGTGGTTCTTCTCTGCTTTACTTTTGAGTGAAATGCGAGAAGTTAGCAAGTTATTTAGTAACCGCGAGTGTTTATATATCATTTTAAATTAATAAAAAAGAAAGAAAGGGAAAACTTTATTATTTATATGTAATGATCTGGTCAAATTATGTTTTATGATTTTGCAATCCGGAGAATTTTTCGTTATGTAAAAGCAAATTTATCAGAAAGTTAGTGTAGTCCCTACTTGATACTAGTTAATTAACAATTACTAGTAGTTGTTTGTTTTACAAATTTGACACAAGATTAAAATGTTTGAAACCACACCTGACATGTATATACAAGTCATAAATTGGCTTAGACGGGTTTAGTCTAATTACTAATTATAACCGGTCGTTGGAATAAAGAGAGTTTAACCGGAAGCCTAAACAGGCATACGAGGCCCACTCTATTTATTATATATACACCAAAAAGCCCAAACTTGTGGTCTCTAATCCACTGATTTTGGTCCTCACAGCTTTCATGTCTTGTCACAGTTAGAAAAGTCGAATGATTCTATAAATGTTTTATAAGTCTCAAGTCAACTCATTATTCTCCCTATGTCATAAATGTTTAAACAATTTTTTTTTTGGTCAAAAATGTCTAAACAATAAATAGCTGAAAACAAACATAAAGTCGTTTGAAAAATATATATACTAAACCCCCTAGCAATATACAAATTTCGCAATGAAATTCAATCACAACAATTACATTTGCTTTCAGTGTCCAAAGAATAACACTGCACTAGGTACAAAAAGATGTTACAGACAGTTCGCGAAGGTTAGAAAGGAGATAGAACAAAACTGCCATACCTCTAACTATTTAAAATCAATTGCTTTCCATGAATATAATCTCACTCTTCTTCTTAAGTAGTGAAAATAAAAAAAATAAAAATAAAAATCAGAAAGCCAAAACACAAAAGAACATGATTTTATTTATGGATATATTAAGTATATATATATAGTAAAGATATTATGTAAAACCTGGTTTGTATTTAGCTGAGTGACTCTGTGGGGGCAGTGTCTCATCTGGATTCTTGGCTTTGCTCCTTAGCATCTCAGAGAAGTTGCCTCTCATGATACGTCTGAATCTGTTGTCTTCTGTCGCAGCAGCCACCGCCTTTGGTGAATCAGATCCTTGAAGTGTCGGAGATGATGGTGGTTTCCATTGCTTCTTTCTTGCCCAACAAGTCACCTTCTCCAAACAAACTTGTGACTGCTGACGCAATCCCCAAGTGAGCACCCATTGCTTTGCTGATTGCTTCAAGTGTCCCACCTGATCTCTCCTTCATTATGATCTTTAAAGCTTCCTTGTGAGCTGGATCAAGAGCGTCTGGATCTTTAAATAGGTTTTGAATCGCTGGAAGGAGGTATTCTATGACACTTGTTTGTGACAGATCTTAAGAACCATGTTTCGAACAAAAAACGAGTTAACTTGGAACATTAAGATATGTTCAAGAAAATTATGATTTCGAATCTTACCTTTCTTATCCGATTTCTCAAATGGTCTTCTTTCTGGGGCAAAATGCATACCAATTGTAACAAGTTAGCAAAGCAATCAACATGCATCCATTCAAACATTGGCTACTCAGATCGTCCCCTGGTCAAAATTCTAGTTAGATATGACGTAGTTAGTGTACTTATCTACAAGAAGATGTTAGAAACTAAGACAAACTTTCTATGGTCAAAAGTTTTTGAGGAAGTGAAAAAGCTTACTCGGCATATGTCTCAAGCAAGGAAACAGAGACTGCAGATTCCTCTGACTTTGCGGTAGAAGGGAACGGACACGTTACTGGAAGCAACTCCATGAGCATTATTCTTAGTAGGACATCAATGTTCCATCGCTCCCTTTCACCAAGGACTCGTAAATGAGACTCCCAATGACCCTTCAACTCCCGAAAGGCAAATGAAAATGACTTAAAAGAGCTATAGCAAACAACCACTCACGACTACAATCTCAAAATGGGAAATGTATCGAGTCTATACCTGAGCGGAGCCAGTGCGTGAGAGAGAAGAACCCTCAAGATATGATCCAGCCACTTACCCCACTTTATCACAGCAGGAAGTAGCTCTTTCAGTGTGGTTATTTATTGCTACTATAAAGAAAAAAACTTAATAGGCATTATAAATGCTTTTGCATAAGAGTGTACTATTAAGAATAGAGTTCCATGGAGAAAAATAAAAGAGAAAAGGAGATGGCTAAGGAATGGGAACTAAAAGCGAGATCAGCAATGACTTATTGCAGAACTAACTTAGAGATGCATTCAAGCGCCTGCACTTGATACAAAGATATATGAAGCTGGAGTTTTACTAAAGTGAAGGTAGAGTCCCCAACTGGTTGATGAAGTTTATGCAACCGTAATTACGGACTTACAAACTAAATTAGCTCTGCAGTCACTGATTTTCCTCATTGTTTATGCACACACATATATATCTAAGTAGAGGATTTACTATTAGTGTAGAATAATTAACTCGGTGTAAAGATACCTTTAAGCTTGTCAATAGAACAATCAGATCTCTTCTGTCCTTGAGTTTTCAATCTTGTAATATCCTCCTTGTGCTAGACGAAATTAATATTAACTTATAGCTAGCTTCTCTGATAACGCTTCCTTCTCCTCCTGCAAACTTTGTGGGTCATCGCAGGGTAACAATTTTACTAGCTGCCAACCATGTGTTTAAGAAAGCCTGAAGCTAAAATCAAAACTCAATACTATATTAAAAAATCAAAAATTTACAATGCGACACAGTCTACATACGGCATGAGATGTTCTTGGTTATAATAACATCACCCAATTCAACAATCATGAATTATTTTGCAAACTCAAAGACTATGGATAAATGTGCAAGCCTTTAATGAAATTGCATAGATAACATATTCATGTCTAAAACGTAACGCAACTCAACCTACTGATGATTAATTTAAGTGACAAAATAACAATGGGATATTCACCAGCGAGTATACAGTACAAACGCTGAGGCGAATCGCTTGGGCATCATCGAGGAGCTCGTCATGAAGAAGCTCAAACGCCGTTAAGAGGTACTTCTCCTCCATCAGGAATATCACAACGAAGTTGCACAATTACGATCGCTCCGCCTTGATTTTTCTGTTTCTTATCGCTAAAACCCAATAATCACAGGTCAAACCTTCTTCATTCAGAACAAGAACTGATTCACAATATCGTGTCCGGGAGGGACCGACGGTAGTTGGAATCAGGTTCAACAGTGTAGTTGTTCGTTAACGTGGATCTTAGTTCAATCAGATGCTACGATTTGAGTAGTTTGTGAGCTTTAAGAGACACGTTGACGGTTATGATCCCAAGATATCGAAATTCGCTAATTTGTAAGTTGTAAGCAAAAAAAATCATATAAAACAAATTCTTCATAAAATGTAACGAGTAAACTTGAGAAAGGAAATAAAATATGTGATATAGGATTACAACAATCGAGTGTGTGAAAGAAGATGAAACAAGGATCACCAAGGAGACAAGAAAAGTAGACGTATGTATGTATATATATATGTAAGAGAACCAAAACAAAACTGTAAAACCAAATACCTGAATACGAACTTCAGCAGCATGAAAACTGATTTTTAATACATTTTAACCTTTGTGGGTGCTTAGCTGACCCAGAGCTTCAGTCAGCATTATCGTTTGCAACTCAGACGATACTATTGGAGCGGGTGGCTGAGATTTGTAAATCTGAGCACGAGCTGTATCGTCATCGAGGTCAGTGTTGTAGATGAAATCATCTTTGCATGTGGTACTAACAGCAGCTTCACTTGATGTTTGTACCGATGATGATGAATCTACGGGTTTAGGTGGAAGGTAAACCTGTGAGGCAAACTCTGGAGCTAGAGGGCTGCTGGTGCGGGCCACTGGGGATTCAACTTGATGGGTGTTTAAAGAGTTGTTGTGTCTCACAGGCGGAGCTTGAACATACCTCGAATTATACTGCTCAACTGGATAATAGACTGGGTATGGCTGTGGCGGGAGCTGATACTGTATGTGGTTCATGTGATGGTATGCAGGTAATGTCATAGGTGCGTTTCCGGTCATGTAAGGCGGCTGTCCAGTGTAAACCACGTAGATAGGTTGCTGCTGTTGTTGCTGTTGTTGAGCTTGGTTCAGAAATGGTGGAAACCCCGAAACTGGAACTGGTTTGTTTAGGTCAGGCTGGTACAGGTTTGAAGATGATTTGGTCTCGATAACATGAGGGCTTGTTGGTAGCTCGTGAGAAGAGATTGGTGCGACTGTAGTATTACCGCTGTTATAGTAAAAAAGAAAAGGGAGAAGGGTCAGTAAAAGAATCGCCTATTGAACTAAACGTGATTAGAGGACTAACATCTTCCCTGCAAATATATACAATCCATAGGAACACAACACAACTCAAATACTAGAATAAATATACAGAACAAAAGGAATAACATACACAAGAGCGCATTAATGCACAACGAATGAGCATTTACCAGCTTTACACAACCGCAATCAAGACAAAAGCTACACATTGCCTAGAGGCCCTAGACTATGAACTTGTATCACGGATCATATACCATAACACAAGGTACTTACACAATCACAAACAAGACAAAGCTACTGAATCACTGATTTCTTTAGACTATGAACTTGTTCCACGGATCATATACAATAACACAAGGTCCTTCCACAGTCGCAAACAAGAAAGTCTACTGATTGCCTTAGACTATGAACTTGTTCCACAGATCATCATATATATATATAGAAGAAAACCTACATTCAACAACAGGATAACTCCAAGAATTATGTTTCCCTTTCAAAAGTTACTTCAAGAGATAGATTTTATGTTCTCTCTACCATTTGGCTAAAACATTTCCCAAACAACAACTTGTGTAGAAGCTTTAGAAAAGCCTAAACGTTACTTCAAGAGATAGCTTTTAATTCACATAGTTCTGCAATATCACCACCCTCATCTCTACCATTTGGCTAAACATTTCTTTTTCCGTTTTTTTTTTGGCTAAACATTTCATTTCTTAAACAACAACTTGTGTAGAAGCTTTAGAAACGCTTAATACTATTCGAATAAACCTACAGAAATGATTCAAATTAAGCAATAGGCGAATTAGAATACCTTGACAGTGATTCAATCGGCGCAAACTTGACCTGAGAATTCGACATATTATCCTCCCCAGTACTCTTCATCGGAGGCAATTTACTAGACGAAACCGACGACGACGTCGATCCAAACGACGAATTAGTCTCAAGCATCATCGACTCCTGTCCACAAATCCCACCGCTCCCACCGCTACTCCCACTATTATTATTATCCCCTCCAGTCTGCATCATCTCCACCCCCTTCAACGCATCCACAAACCACGTGTCAGTCTTCGGATGCTGAAGCACCGCCTGATTCAAATCCTTCGTCTCTCCTATCCCAAGCCAATCAACATCCCCTGGATCTCCCTGACTCGCGCCGCCTTGAGTCTTCGAAGGGAATAGAAACAACCTTACGCGCGTTTTACCAACCGAGGAGGAGGAATATTCGCCGCACGTGAGGTATCCGTGCTCCTCCATCATGATCTGAACATCCTCATCCGTCTCCACGGAGATGAGCGAGTCCACCTCCTGATCAGGCAACTGATACTTAACCTTGAAACCGTACGAGATTCCGAGTGCGACCGCGAGGTGGCTGACGAGAGAAGCGACGCTCGTCTCCGCGGAGGGAGGAACGGCGACGATTCGAGTATCTCCGCCGACGTATCGCGGCGATTTCGTATGCGGGAGTGAGACTACGCTACCGCCGTACCTACACATCACTCGTAGCTTTCCGTTGTTCGTAGATTTAGGTGTGACGGCCTTCGCGCCTTCCGTTACGGCGGCGGAAGGGGTTGAGACGGTGGTCATGGTGGGGGGTTTAACTTTTCGCTCTTTTTTTGCTTTTTTTTTTCTTTCTTCTGTGAGCAAACGCCGTTTATAAGCGGAAACTTTTTTTTTTATCGAATCGTGAGTGCTTTTAGCTTAGCTGTGACGGTGACGTTATCATTAACTGAATGTAATCAACATTGGGACGTGGGCCCGTTAATGATGTTATTACCGAGCGCGTGATTTTTAAAACGGGTTATTATAATCGGGTCGGGTGAAGAATAATCCAAGTGCGGGTTTCACGCGACACGGATTAGTATTTGGGCTTGATTAGATTTCGTTTTGTTGGGTTTCCATAGATGTTAATTAACCCAATCAGAAATTGATCTTTTTACCACTAAAACGGATGAATATTGGTAATTTACCAGTGTGTGTGATTTTCTATATCTCTATTTCATTTATCAAAAAATATTCGAGATTTTGACAGGTATAATTGTTAATGATTAACTACTTGGATCAACTGATGGTTCATAGTACGATAATTCATTAAAACTTATAAACCAAAAGTTTGAATTTTAAATCCTAGAAGAAAATTATAAATAATTATGAAGATCTTCAATATTCATATTGTAGGTAAATGTAAAACTAACATACATATACTTCTATTAAGTGGTTCAATGTTGATGTGATTATGACAATCATATTTAATCTTTACAAAACATATAAAATTTTCAATTGTAAGAGTGTTTAATATTAGTGAATATAATTTATAATAAAAAAATCACCAAAAAATTTCTTTTCAGTTTTGTATATGTTCGACTGCTAGTCTTGGTTGGAAGGTAAATAGGTGATTATAGCGATAACAATTAACGAAAAGTGTTCAAACAAAAAAACGATAACAACTAACTTTATTCAAGCATTCAAGCCATATCGATATGGTTTGAAACAATCACTTAGTGAAAAGACGATATTACATTCTCTCATTCTTTATTTTTGTAAAATGAAATTTGGGTACACTTTTTGCTCGGCTTAAATCATATTGGGAAGATTCTTAAGAATACAAAACTTTGGTTTCAGTTGCTAAATATATTTTTTAATCAATTACAAAATAGGCTATATTAAATCACTGGTTGCACAGTTTTTGAAAAAAGTTAAAAACTATATTAAAATATGAAAATATCATCTATTTTGCAACATAAAAAACTTTTTTAAACACATCTATTTTCAAACGAAGAGAATATAATTATAAAGAAACATATCAGTAAATTAAAGTGATATGTAGTCTAATGTTCCATCTAGCTCTTCAGTGTTACAAAATACAAGAATGATCTGATTTCTAACTTATTGAAAGCATTTATCGAGAATAAGTACAAATACAGCTGAGATGGATTATCAAACAATAGTGCTACGTTTTATATCAATTTGGAATTGATCAAACTTACAATCTTTTGTTTTCATTTTTTTGAGAAAATACTTACTTTGTGTTCTCTTTTCCCCAAGAAAGCTTAATATTAAACCTACCAACTGCTTTGACAAAAAAAAAAAAAAAACTTACCAACTGATATTTTTTGAAGTCTACAAACTAATTTTGCTGAAACGTTTGTTAATTAGCTACTAAACCAATGTTCTTCTTATATTAGTATATAATGTATTTTTAAAATCTTGGACACCACCTTTATGGCAAAAAATTTTGCTTTACTTCTTCATCCAATATCTAGTTCTTCTTGTAAGTTTTGTCAGAAAGGAAACATAACTTTAAATCGATGTTTGTGTTTTGTTTTGTGACTATCTTTTTCTTTTGTGGTTTTTATTGTAATGTCCTAATAAAAAGGAAAACTTGCTTTGCTTTCAGGATTCCCTAAGCCTATAAACCATACATAACATTACAGCTATCTAATATCTTTAGAAATGGGTAAACTATAGATAATCTTCGGTGATAATGAAAGTTTGATTCTGGTTATCTGTTTTGTAGTTTCATAAAAGCGATTTATATTAGTATTATTTAAATAAAAATATTTTTGATAGATTTTATAAAATTTGAAATGCTATATATTAATATGGATTAGACACACATAAACAACCATTGTCGTTATATTTATGCTAACATGAGTAGTTATTCAAAATATCTGATTGTTTTCTGTTTCTATAACATTATAACGATAATATTTCATTATATACTAGAAATTTAAGTTTCTTTGGATATACCAAAAAATATATTGATATTATAAAATTAACATTTTTAAGATCTAATATATTTCATCTGTTCCCAAAACTAAGATTTTCTAGTGTTGTTATGTTCACTAGGAATATAATTTCCAATAAATATCAACCAGTAAAACTTACTCAATTTGAATATTTCAATTCATGTTTTTTAAAGTATAGAATCCATTAACAGCAATTAATAAAAATACCTTAAAATCTAGAAAATCTATCTTTGTGGAACAAGAAAAAAAACTTAAAAATCAATTTTGGGAAATTAAGGAGTATAAAAACAAAATTAAATTAATTAAGTAATCATAAATTTAAAACAAAGATTTGTGTCATCTTGTGACAGTTTTTAACGTATATCAATATTTTACCAAAATTTATGTAACGCTTATGCGTTATGAAATCATAATAAAATAATTAGTAAAAACCATTTGTAATCTAAAAAGAAGAACAAAATTGTTTTATGTTCGATAAACACGAGGCAAAATTGTTGTTCTGACGTAACGTAAATCATCAGAAATTCAAATAACCTTCACTCACGAATGAATTTTCAGGTGGAAAAAATCACATGGTAGTATTAGTGAATTACTTACCAAACTATTATCAGCGTGGAACGACCGGTAATGTTATATCGGTCAGTAGCGTTAGGTTATGGATTTGGTAACTTCTTATTTTGGGTTTTGTACTTCCGTTATTCAATCAGTGACACAAAAACCAAATTTTGCTTTACGACAACTTTGGCTTTTGAGCAACATCCTATATATAAACAGTTAGTAATGTACTTAAATCACTACTTCGTATAATAATGGTAAGACCTAATATTAATAGCATCAAATTGCCTGTTGAGGAGAATTTGTTGAATATTCTGCACGTCTTCATTTTTATTCACTACCTCTAGTTCTTAAATATCTAAAAATAATAGTTACAGAAGTAAAATTTCAAATACTTTGGAGGTTTGTAGTTAATACTATTGTTCAATAAATTTTGTGTGTTTTTCCCCAGGACAAATGACTTTTCTTACTGAAGTTATACATCAAAACTATTTATGAAGCTATTATAAACGAATCTTTCAAATAATTAATTAAAACAAACAAATTAATGGTAGATCATAGATTAAACAGTTGTCAATGGTTGCTTACGGAGTACTATAGTAATACTATAATTAATCAGATATTTAGAATAATCAATGAGAATACAAAACACTCCAACTCAAGTCAACTTTACTTTGTATATATATAGACAGATATATTCCACCTTGTAACGCGCAAGCACGAGAGAGAGAGAGAAAGAATCAAAGAGATCTGTTGAAAGAGAGACAGAGAGAGAAAGAGAGAGAAAGAGAGAGAGCGGAGATGTCGATAGCTTTGCATTTGACCTCGCCGGTGATGACGCATATGCCGGCGTCGTTAACTTCACCTCACCGTGGATCTTCTTCTTCTTCTCGTCTTCTTCAAGTTTCTTGTGTCGCCACCAACCCTGCCAGGTACAATATCTTTTTCATCATTTCATCATTTGACATTTATTTTAGATCTTCGATTTCATCATTTCATCATTTGACATTTCTGTTTAGATATACATGAACATTCATGTAGGGTCTTAGTGTAACCTGAATATTATTATCGATCTCTCTGTTTTCTATCCATCACGTAATTATCTAGAATATTATATCATTCCGTCATTTTCAAACAACAGTAATAAATAAATAAAATAGTCATTCTCAATTGAGATTTTATCGTTTTGTTTCATATTTTTGAAACTCATGATCTGATGTATTACATGAGCATCACATTTAACGTTTAGCTAAAGTCATTATTGTCATGTTAAGTGGGACTAAAATACTGATTAAGATACATTGGATTCCATGTATCTTTGCTTATTCATGATTCGTATCATGATGTCAACTTTTTTCTTGGTCCACCTGAAACATAATTTTGTATATACTGCAGAATCATTGTACCTTTAACTTTCTTGTGTGCTTACACATGCATAGCTTGGTGTGTTTGCTTTCAGATGCGTGACATTAGTCATCATTGGGTGATCTTAAGACTATAAATAAGTTTTGATTGATTTTCTTAAAGATACTATATTAGTAAAAAGACAAAATCATTTTTTACTCTTAGATTATTAATACTATTGGCTTATAAATAACGTTAAAATCGAAAACTGGTTAGGTAGATTGTATTTGTCAGGCAACAAGTACCATTCTACTTTAATAAGCTGGATTATCTTTTAAAAATACACTTTCACCCACCATGCAAAATTATTGAAAATCAAATATCAAGAAAATCTTCCTTGTCGCTGTATAATCTTTTACTAAAGTAATAAGAAATCTAATCTCCAATCTGGAAACAATGACCCAACGTCTCCACTCTGCTCATAAAGCAAACATGAATGGACCAATCACACAAATATATAAAATATATAACATTTATGTAGTCAATAAAGTGTTTTCCTATATTTGTGTTAAAAAAAAAGTGTTTTCCTATATAATAAGATTCCAGGACAAGGGTTATTGGATTAGTAACTTGCTTTGTTTACATTTTTCTAATTAGTAAAATGAAAACAGATGAATAGTATGTGTCAAGTTGCATACATGCATGGTTTTAGAAAGGGATATTATCATATTTGGGCTTTGAGTTTTCTTTTCTTTAATTGTAAAAGATCACAAATCTTTTTTAGCAAGTACGAAGAAGGACCCGGACCCATTTGTGTTGGTACTTAATTTAACTTTCTTTTATAGGAATAACAACGTAACGTGCAATCATTTTCGACCCATCAAAGAAGTAAATAACCAAATAACACACACAATAGCACATGAGAAGCTTGAGATCTTCAAGTCTATGGAGAATTGGGCAGAAACCAAACTACTACCGTATCTCAAACCGGTAGAAGATTCTTGGCAGCCACAAGATTTTTTGCCGGCGC